GTCTGACAGAAGATACAAAAAAAAAAAAAGAGAATTTTTTAGACCAATATTCTGATGAATATCAACGCAAAAATCCTTAAAAAATACTGGCAAACCGAATCCAGCAGCACATCAAGAAGTTTAGTTCCACCATGATCAGTTGGCTTCATCCCTGGGATGCAAGGCTGGTTCACATAGCAAATCATAATAAATGTAATCCAGCATATAAACAGAAACCAAAGACAAAAACCACATGATTATCTCAATAGATGCAGAAAGGACTTCGACAAAATTTAAACAGTCCTTTCATGCTAAAAACGCTCAATAAATTTGCGTTACTGGATGGAACCAATCTTTCAAAATAAATTAAAGAGCTATTTATGACAAATCCACAGGCCATATTCATACTGAATGAGCAACAACTGTGAAGGCATTCCCCTTGAAACTGGCCACCAAGACAGGGATGCCCTCTCAGTCCATCCTATTCAATAGTGTTGGACAGTTTCTGGCTAGGGAAATCAGGGGCAAGAGAAAGAAAGGAACAACGTATTCAGGTTAGGAAAAGGAAGTTGCAATGTCCCTGTTTGCGAGATGACATTGATTGTAATTTAGGGAAAACCCAGGGCCAAAAATCTTCTTAAGCTGAATAAAGCAATGTCAGGCAACGTCTTGAGGAACTACAAAAATTCAATGTGCAAAAATCACAGCATTATTATACACCAGTAAACAGGACAAACAGAAGAGCCAAAATAGGAATTGACTCTCATTTCACAATTGCTTCCAAAGAGAATTAAATACCTAGGAATCCCAAACTTTACAAGGGGATGTAAAGGCATCTCTTCAAGTTGAGAAACTACAAACCACTGGCTCAATGAAAATAAAAGAGGACAAAAACAAATGGAAGACATTACCATGCTCATGGATAGTTGAAGAATCATAATTGTGAAAATGGGCCCATACTGCAAGGTAATTTATAGATTAATTGCCCTTCCCCATTGAAGCTTTACCAATGACATTCTTTCACAAGAATGGGAAAAAAACTGCTTTAAAGTTCCATATGGAACCAAAAAAGACCCCTCATGCTAAGAAAATCCTAAGCCAAAAGAACAAGGCTGGAGGCATCACGATAACCTGACTTCAACATATACTGTAAGGCTGCAGTAACCCAAAACAAGCATGTAACTGGTACCCAAAACAAGAGAGTAGAGCCCACATGGAACAGAAAACAGAGCCCTCAGGAAATAATAACACACATCTACAGCCATTCTGATTCTTTTGACAAACTGACCAACAAAACAAGAAATGGGGAAGATTCCCATTTAATGGGTGCCTGGAAAATTGGCATCAGCCGAAGTAAAAGCTGAAACTAGATCCTTTTCCTTACTCCTTTATATGAGAAATTAATTCAAATGATTACAACTTAAATGTTAGACCTAAAACCATAAGAACCCTAGAAGAAAACCTTAGGTAATTACCATTCGGACATAGGCACTGGCAAGGTGTGTGTTTTATGGTGTGAATGACGACCAAATATGCATAAATGCAAGAAAAGCCGAGAGACAGAAGGATGAGGTTAATTAAGCTAGATGATTTTCTGGCACAGCAAAAGAGCATCGATTACCATCGGCAGTGAACAGGGCAGACCACAGAAATGGGAGAAATGTTTGCCATGGATGCAGCTGGAAACCATCATTCTCAGCAAACTATCACTAGAACAGAAAACCAAACACCGCATGTTCTCACTCATAGGTGGGAACTGAACAATGAGAACACTTAGATACAGGAAGGGGAACATCACACACACCGGGGCCTTTTGTGGGTTGGGGGGAGAGGGGAGGGATAGCATTAGGAGATATACCTAATGTAAGTGACGAGTTAATGGGTGCAGCACACCAACATGGCACATGTATACATATGTAACAATCCTGCATGTTGTGCACAAGTGCCCTAGAACTTAAAGTATAATAAAAAATAAATTTTAAAAAAAGTGATGTATACAACTTCCATGCTGTGTCCTTATAAACGAAGCTGCTTGCCCTAGACTTCTTTCTTTCTTCATGATAGCTGGGAATAGCTACAACTGGAACAGACATCTTGGCCCCAGAAAGGAAAACAAGTACTGAGGATGATAGGGTTCACCTGCCAGCCCTGAATTGCTCATATTTGTATTATTATGTGAAAAAGAAATAAAATTCTCTCATATTTAAATCACTCTGTTTTAGACATTTTCTGCTACATAGCTTAGTCTGTACCTTAATAAATGCAATGCCATTTTGTCAAGGGGCAGCTGAGCTTGAGACATTCAGTCCCTTGAGTAAATCCTGTAAAATTTAAGTCCCAGGGTAAATACTTCAGTTAACTGAAAGAAGAGAGACAAAGATTAAGAGCGTGAAAGTGTGGGCAAGCTTTATTCCCTCACTATGTAAATATAGAAGCGGCACTGAGCTAGAATTCATAAGAGCTGCATTATAGTCCCATCTCCCAAATCTGTTGGTATCATATTAGGAGACCTGAGATAAGAGTCTCCTCATCTCAGAATTTCAGTATTCTCATTTGCAAAACACTTTTCTAAAAGTGTAATCTCTCCATTTCTGAAGACTTACCTGTCCTTCTCAGACTGGTTGTGCCATTCCAATTCCCAGCTCCTGTCAGGGCAATAGTCCCACTCTACTTCTTCTGCCATGATATAGTAGATTCTTGCAGCTTGGTAGCGTTGGCGAGGGGTGGCTTGGTGACCAGGACACTGGGAGACATTATAGATTGCCCTCATCCCTGCTTCTCGATGGCTGCCTGCCTGGCAATAAATCTCAAATGTCCCTAAGGGAGGATCAGAGAGAAAAATCTGACTCAGAACACCCCTGGGTGGTGCCTGGGGGATTTCCTGCCTTTCCCTAGGCATACTGTAGAAAATAATTAGTCTCAGATAGATTCAGATAAGGCTTTTGTCTTAACTATGTATAGATAAAAGAGTATTAAAAGTTTATTGAGAGTAATGAGCTCAAAGGTTAAGAGCTCCAGCTCCAAAGCTACATACACTGGGTTTATTAAAACTAAACTCAGACACTAGAATAACCAACTTCTTCCAGAGTGTTTCTAGTTTTAGCACTGTAAGTCCCATATTCCTAGAAACCCCGTAGTACTAGGCAAACTGCCATGGTTGGTAACCCTATCTTTCATTTATTATATATAAATCATATACATACATATATAATATATGTGTGTGTGTATATATATACACACACATAAAACCTTGTGGCAATTGCTAAACCTCTGTGTTTTTCAGTTCCCTCATCAGTAAAATGAGGATTATTTTACTTTATTTGGTTGTTTTACAACTAAACCCAATAATTTGTGAACAGTGCTTAGTATAGAACATATTCAATGCTCAGTTAAGTGATGCTATAAATTAGTAAATATAGCTATAATAATACTTATTCCAAGAAAAACAATGATGAGTTGTTTCCCACCAAGTACCAAAGAAATAAAATAGAATTTAATAGTTAGCTAAAAAGAAAGAGAACGTCTTGATTGCAGAGGGATGCTTACCTAAGACAGTTTTAGAAGGTCCTTCACTCTCTTTTTTACAATGGAATGTGCAGGTAACAGTCTTAAATGTCTGTGTTGTGGAGTTGCCGCGACCGGATCTTAAGCTCCAAATTTCTACCTCAAGGATACTCAAACTCAACGTCGATCAAAGAAGCTAACTTTCGTAGAACATTACTCTCATCGTTTCTTTACTTTGCTGTTCAGTGCTTATCCCATCACTACAAACTCTTCTTCCTGGCTTTCAAAGCCTTCTATGAGTTGGCCCCAAACTACCTATCCAGTTCTACTTCCCACACATTGTCTCAAATTCAACTATCACTCCAACTACACGAAACTCTGACTGCTTCTCTCACACATTTCATTCATTCCTACCTTGAAATCTTCATTCATTTTGTCACCCTCTTTGTGGAACTTACCTGTCCACCCAACCCCCAAGTATCAATGAGAGTCCACTCATTATCCAAGACCCAATTCATGTTTCTTTTCCAGAAAGCCCTCCCTGACTATTTTGGCCCAAACAGAGTTCTGCATTCTTCGCTTCTCCACCCCTAATGCACTTTATATCTAAAGCATATGTTAAAGGGCTAAGTGCCCCTCTCTTTTAAAATGATCCCTTCTACTAGTTTATAAACACCTTGAAAGAAAGGGTCTGTTCATTTCTTTCCACATCTACTTCTTTTATTTCCCTTACCACCCTTATCTATTGCATCAGTAAATCCTATCAGCAATTCCTTCAAAATTATTTTTTCATTTCCACTGCCTCTTCCCTAGTCCAAGCCACAAGCTTCTCTCACGAGAAAACTACAATAGCCTCCAAACTGTCCTTTCTATTTCTGAAGAGACCAGCTTTATGTCAAGTGTTTGTCAAACTCAGGACTAGGTTAAATTTATTAAAGTGTTGAAGACACTTGTTCAAGGATGTTTTTGCCCCGAAATATGCATGGAATTTACAGGAGTAAAACAAAAGTTTAATAGGAACTGTGTGGAGCTGACAGGTTGTTCTTACAAACACTATTGTCATCTAATGGCTGGAAAAAAAAATACACCATAGGGACAAAAGAAAAGATAACTGCTCCATTATGAAATGCTAGAAATACCTAGAATCTGAAGAAACGTTATAGTCAAACATCTTCATAAAAGGAAGAAAAAGGATATGGAGGGAAGGAGAGATGGAGGGAGGACAAAAGGACAGAAGGAAGGAAGGCAGAAAGGAAAGAATCAAGGAAGGAAGAAATCTAGCTAGAGAGAAAGGAAGTAATTAGACCAAAGTTCGCAGCAAGTTAATGAAAGAGCCTGAACTAGGGCTCCTGTGTTCTGATTTCCAGGCTGAAATTGTTACATCACCACACACACATACAAACACACACAACGGGGTGGCCGGGAGCAGCAGGGGAGGAGGGGTGTGTCACGGGGAGAAAGAGAGAGAGGGAGAGACCAGAAATGCGAAAGTCTGTAGAAATCCTCAGAGTATCAATTTGATAGCACTTATAAGTGCATTTTATTTACCTTCCTCTCAATAAAAGTACTATATCTAAAAAATCTCTATGTGGTCAAGTCCACTCCCTGCCATGTAAGAACTGCACTAAAGCTGATCAACATCCCAACTTCCCTTCTGTTGTTCCAGAAAAGAGCTTCGTCTACCTTCTACTAACTCTATTCTGCCTGCAGCTGAGTAGGGAACCCAAGTAACCAGAACATGGAGAGCACATTGAAGAAGAAAAAGACAAAAGTGTTTTTAAAAACTTCCTAGAACCGTCAGCATGCCTCTTCTTTTCTCTTCACCATCCCTCCCTCGTCCCGACCCCATTCCTGGCCCTATACCCAATAAAGCCTCTAGGGCCAGCCGCTAAGGCACTTACCAAGGTTGTCAGGCTGCATGATGGCCATGACAAAGGTATGAGGAAAGAGCATGGCTGCACCCTTCCTCATGCCCTGAAGCTGCACAGTGTTGCCCTGGAACATGACTCCGTGCACATCAGTCTCTGTGCCCAGGCCGAGCAGGTGCCAGGCCACTGTGTCACCCTTGCACATGTCCAGCCTGGGCAGGTTGGAGAACAGAAACCCATTAATGGCTGGAAAACAAAAACACAAGACAAGATGGGGAGATGAGACCAGACTACTCCAGCATTGGCCAGCAGCATGGCATCAGCTATGTACTATGGTTTCACACAACTTGAAACTGCTGAGTCATCCTCAACACCTCTGCCTTCTTCTCTAATCCACTTTAACTCTACTCGTGATTATCTGCGTCTTTGGGATGCGCACTCAACTGTCCTTTCTTGCCTCACCTCCACCATGATCCACATCCTGACAACACTGAACCACTACCACACACACACACACACACACACACACACACACACACCAATCTCTCCTATTCCCTATTTCTTGAAACTCTCCTTCCTTGGTTTCTGTGGCAACATACTTTCTGGTCCCTTTACAACCACTCTGATTGTTCCTTTTCTACACTGATCTCATTTTCCACCCCTCCATAATGTGCTGGGGATCTGAAAATTCCATCTTCAGCTCTCAACCTGTTTCCTCCTCTTCATCTTCACTGCTACTGCCCTAGTTCTGGCCCTCATCCTCCCTGGCCTGAACTCCTACAATAGCCTCCTCTCTGGTACTCCTACCTGAAATCTGTCCTCCCATCCTCTTACACACACACACACACACACACACACACCATTGTCCTTATCTATGAGCTCTATTTTTCTCTGCATTACCGAAACTTTAAACATTGTAGGTGCTTTGATAATACCTGTTGACTTTTCACATAGTTTCCTCTTTCTGGAATAAACTTCCCTTATGGTCTCTTTCTATGGCATCCTACCACTTACCCATCGTATCTTTGTTCAGATATCCTCTGTAAATCAGTTATAACTCTCTCTTTGATCCATGAAACTTTTATCCCACAAAATTCTGCAGTATCAGTTGCCGTGGAATGTAATTGATATCCTTTCTGGTGATTTACTTACAAATCTATTTCCTGCACTGGATTGACATAACAGGAAGCATGTCATTTTTTTTCTATATCTATGTGACTGCCTGAGCACCTAGCACATTACCTAGTACCAATTAGGCACTCAGTAAATTCTAACTGGAATGAACTTTGCTCATGAGACAGTTTTACTTTTTCCAAATGATGAAACTAACTAGTAATGGGAACCAAGAGATGGAGCATTTCAAGTGAAGGGAATAGTACTGCAAAAGCATGACATCAGCATGTTCACAAAGAAAAATAGCCCCAGTTGGCTGGAGTATGGGGTGGGGGAGCAAAGGTACTAAAATATAAGGAAGAGGGAGATAAGATTGGAAAGGTATCATCTGGCTTATTCTTCACAATCCCTTGTAGATTTCTTGTGCACAATCCTCATTTTGCAGTACTTTCTTCCAGTGTCCCCCATACTGTGTAACACAGGACACAGCACCCAGAGGTACTAAGTATAAGATCTGTTGTGTTTGGTTTAACCTCTCAATCTATCTCGCCTCTTGGACAGAGATGACCAACAAAATCAGTGTTTGCAGGATTGGTCACGATTACGGTTAAAGTTAGATTTTACTTGGGACCCCTCAATTTAGCCCAGGGCAAAAGTACTCCCAATACCATGCATCCGATTGGAGTCTTGGAAGCCCTCAATATCCTCTGAAAGCAGTCGGAAATCCAACATAGCAGCTGCTTGATTGGCATTGCTGTACCAGCTCTTGTTCTCATCCAACACAGTGAAGAGAAGAAAGAATTCTTTATCCACCCCTTTCTGCAGGCCCAATAGAAGAAAGTAGAGGGAAAAATAACAATGGTTTCAGCAGTTGTGGACTGTGTCGTTACAGATCAAGGGATGCCAGATTCTTTCCCATTTCCTTTTCCCATTTTGAGCCCATACCTCCTATCCAGAGCTGCAGCAGTTTTTCCTTAGGTAACCTCAAATTGCAGATGAGAGAAGAAGATCAGAATAAAAGGACAAGCCTGACAGGGAAGAACGTATGAAAGTGGGCAGGGAAGGAGCATAGGATAAGACATAAGAGGTATAGAGTGTAAAAGAAGAGAGCTGGGAATCACCTGGGGAGAGGAATGAGGGGAGGTGGCTAGAAAAGCAGGGGGGCATCTTGGGGGAAAACCAGAAAATAAAAGATAAGTAATATCAGTATTAATTATTGTTACCACTAACATTTACTGAGTGCTTACTACGTGCCAGACCCTGTGCTAAGCACTTTATATGGATTATTTTAATTAATCTTCACAGAAACCCAAGGTGTCTTCTCCCATTGTTATGCCATTTTTACAAATGAGGAAATGGAGTCAAAGAGAAGTAGCTCAACCAGTGTTACACAGCTAGAAATCGTGGGCTGAATACAAAAGAAGACAAGCAAACATTAAAGCACATTTACCAATCAGGAGCAAGGTTTAGGGGCCACCAAAGTGAGTGAGAGGGAGAGGGAGAAGGAGAGGGAGAGGAAGGGAGGGAAGGAGGGAAGGAAGGAGGGAGGAAAGAAGGAGATGATGAAAGGATATCATGAATTATCTGCAAGGCTAAAGAAGATATATATTTGTCAGTACAAAAAATAACATGCAAGATAGCATGAGGTCACCAACTATTAATTTCTGATGGACCAGCTTCATTATTTTTCCTCTATTTCATAAACTTTAGAACCCAGTTCCATGCTTAACTCCTATCCAGCAACCCAACTTCATCCTTCTCCCATCAGGCTTCCTAGCCAGATAACCCCGACAATACCTGCTTGCCATCTGCACCCAAGGCACCAGCCCTGCACACAAGCAGCGGGCCCACCAGGCCAGAATTTGTGTCTTTTATGGGATCTGCGGCAGAGAAGTACATCCAGGTGAGACAAGCAGGATCCTGAGCAGCGGGACCGGCATGCGGGGGGACTGTCCAGCGGTACGTTACTTTCTCAAAGGGCTTGGCAACCAAGCCAGGGTGAGATGAGCCTGTAGGGAAAATATGGGACTAATTACTTAGATTGACTAGAATGAGAATCATCAGCTCCAAACAGTGAAATAAAGATTATGAACTACAAAGGCATTTTGGAGCAGCAGTAGCACCAACATGGAATATTGAATATTGAGGAGAACTCTGGTCAAGGAGTCAAGAGATGAGTTTATTTTCTCGTTCTGCCACTACTTGCTATATGAAATGGAGCAATTTAATCTTCCCTATGTTTCAGTTTTCCAAAATCATAGGACCTTGGGACTAAAAGGGACTTTAAGTCTTATTTGGAACATCTCTCACTTGAAAACATACATTAATCTGCTCTTACATCCCTACTTCTGCTTAAAACTCTCCAGTGATGAGGAACTCACTACCTGCCATTATAGCCCATGTCATCTTTGAACAGCTCTGATTATTTAATATTTTTTATTTTAATATGTATTATGTACATGTGGGTGTGTATATGTTATGTATGTATGTATATATATACACACACACATATATATATAAAAAACACTAAGGCTGTAATTTCTAAATGGACACAAGACATGGTCAAGCAATGCACAGACTTTTTTCAAATTTTCACGCCATCAGTAATTAAAGAAGTACAATTGAAAATAGCTAGATAACTTTTTTACAAATTAATTTAGCAAAGATTTTACAAATTGTAATAATGCATGATGGTAAGAAGTGGTTTAGATGGCAACTGCCCTACTCACTCATCTATAAAGAGTGTAAATGTAAAAGGGAATAACACTTTTGGAAAAAATGTAGACAAAATTTGAAAAACAAAAGTAAACAAAAGTGTAGACAAAGCTAGTTATTTAAAAGGTTCATATCCACAAGTAGAATAGTATATGCAATAAATACTGAATGTTCAACATAAAATAATCAAACAAACATAAATCAAATCAACAGTGAGTTTTGTTGATGTTGTCATTTGCCTACAAGACTGCCATTTCGACAATATTGAAAAGATTTCCCCATTGCTGATGAGGTTGTCAGAAAAGGAGCCCTCCTCAGGTACTGCTAATGGAACTCTAAACTGATAGGGCTGCAAATCTTTCCAGAGAGTAATTTGGGTGTAGGTACCAAAAATGTTAATGTACATATCCTCTGATATAGCAATTCCTCATCTTAAAAACATATTCTGAAGAAAGGTTTATAAAAATGTTCAAAGAAACATATGGAAGGATATTTGTAGTATAGCTTATAACAAGGGGCTATAATTTAGGATGGTTTTAACCTATCTTTTCTTATTCATTCATTATTTCTTACTCTTCAAATTTTTGAATACACAGAAAACTTTAAAAAACAGTGCAATGATCACCCTGTCACCTAGAATCTATTGCTAACATTTTGCCATCTTTATCCAATCTATGTATATGTACATCTACACACACATACACAGTTTTTGTTGGTTTGCTTTTGTTGAATCATTTGGAAGTAGAATGCAAACATCATGATATTAGCAAGCATCTCCTATGTCACTATAATGCCATTATTCCACCTAAGAAAATTCCCTAATAACATCTAATATCCAGTCTATATCAAAAATTTTGCAATCATCTCCAAAATGTCTCCTGAAGCTATTTTTACAAGCAGAATCAATCAAAATTTGCACATTCCATTTGTTATGTCTCTAATCCCCCTATTGATGGTATTGACTTCTTGAAGAGACTAGACCAGTTGCCTTATAGAATGTTCATTCTAGATTTGTCTGCAACTTTGCTCTTTATGCTTTCAGTTTTTATTTTATATTTTAGCTAGAATTAGCATGCATTAATATTCTCAGATAAAGTTAAAAATTAATTACACAATACTCTCACTTCTAAGATTCTCTCCTGATACAGTAATCCAAAATGCAAGCTAAGATATATGCATTCATTCATTGCAACCTGACTTACAATATTCAAAAATACTGATAAAACCTACATGTCCAAGCAATAGAGGAAAAAGTAAATAAATTATGACAAATCCTTGAGATAAAATGTTATATAGTCATCAAAATGTTTGTAGCATTATAATGGCATGGAAAAACAAACACAATACAATGGTAAGTGAGGATAGTAGGATGTGAAACTGTATAAACCATATGATCACATATCTCTATATACAGACTTGTATAAACACATAAAAATATTTAAAGGTATATCAAAATTTATATAACTGTCTATAAATGATGTTTATTTACTTTGTAATTGTCTGCTTTTCAGAGTTCTATAATACACTTATGTTTAGAATTAGGATATATTTAAAAGAAATTTTATCTTATTATTGAAGCCTAGCTCTGTTTTACTATTATATTTTTCATTCATTCAACAACATCCACATAAGGGAACTATTTCTGCCTACTTCGTCCTCCCCATCCCCCCTTTATTTGTTTTCTAGAGACATCTGGTACCACCTAGAGCCCACATTTACTAGAAATCCTGTTGACTCACCATCATTGTACACAGTGCCTTCATAGTCTTTCTCATAAAAGACCCCATGGGGCTGCATGCTGAATGGCTGGGAGGCACGATTGTAGAAGACCACCTGAATGGTGTCACCCACCTCAGCCCGGATCACTGGCCCTGGAAAATGGGAAGGAGAGATAATGAGAATGACGAAAGGGATAAACAGGGAGGAAGGAAATGGAAGAAGAAGGAGGGAAAGAAAAGGAAAGTGAAAGTGAAGAAGAAAATAAAAAACTCTTTTCTTTGTAATAATAAGAATAATCCCTTTCAAGTGTACTGCAATTTACAGTTACAGAAAACACTGGAAAACCCATTATCTTATTTTGATTCTCAAACATCATTTTAAGGCATATAGGGCAGGAATTATTAACTCCAATTTACAGATGAGAAAATTTCAGCTGAGAGAAGTGGAATTTACCTACGCAAATTTAAATGGTTGATTAGCCATTCAGCCAGGACCAGAGGCCAGGAATTTCTCTCATCCCACTGTCAGCCCCAATCTAATTTTCACTTACTTTATTGTCCCAGATCCCATAGCTACATCTCTTGGTGGACCTATCTAAGATCTGTGCTTGCCTCAATCTGAAACCAATTCTGAGCAAAGACAATTATTATATCTTCTATTCAGGCACTGGGCTAGGTAATCTAGCCACAACTCCTGGACTCTTCTGAACTTCACTACCCGCCACATATAATCTAGCTTAGGTCACCTTTGAAGCAGACCAAAAGTACCAAAACTGGGCACCTATTCTGGCTCTAACCCTTGGTCAGAGTTTCTACCTTGGTTTCCTATTCAATTTCCACATCTAATGTTTCACCTCTTCTCAAAGACTGGGCACCCATACTGAAGTCCAGCCAATGACAATTCCTTCATGCTGACCACCATCTCTCTTTCCTGTGGTGGATGTCTCCTCATTATATCTGCCTATCCAGCTGATGTAAGATCTATTGTCCATTATCAGATCTAGAATCAACTGGCACACACCTATCCCAAGTATGGTCCATTATATTAATTTCTCAAGTTTTTTCCATCTGGCCTATTTTATTTTCTGGTTCCATCATGTTACTAACCCACATCTAACCGTGGTTTAGCCCTTCTAGATACCTTCTTCCAGTTCAGACACTAAGCCTATTTCGCATTCCTCCTATTTCAAGTATGTCTGTATGTCATGCCAATCTGCTACTGTCCCCAGATTGCTGAGAACATATACAGTCTTAATTCCTCATGTAGCCCTTTAGGAATATTTTTAGACAAGGAATTCTAAAAGTGTTTACTGTACATCAGTGGTATTGGAAGACATTCACTGAAAAAAAGTGGAGATTCATGATAAACAAAAATAAACCTAAGGCTCTTAGAAATCCTGTAGCATAAAAAGCACTATTTAACTGCTTAATTTAGTGGTTTTACAAACACATTCAGACTCATAACCCTTTTTCACAAAACAATCGTCTCATAAGACTCACTTTGGGAGATACTAGTCTATACCGTGCTCCTAAGTGATGTCCAGGCCTCAGCTTCAAAGTCTTCCTCAATTCAATTATCTGGCTCTAGTAAATGAATTTCAGAATTAAAAAATTCCTCACCCAGGATTCCAAGATGCCTATCTTCCTCCAACTGCATCTTCTCTTGGAATGTCTCATCTTGAAAGGCTTCATATCGCACTTTCCAGTAAGTGCCCCCAATTCGGCTGGAGCTCTTCTGGAAAAACTTATCTGAGATACTGATATATAAAAAGGAAAATATGATACGATTTCATTTGGTATCAAATAGACTTCCATCTCACCCTTAGTCTCATCAAGTTATGAATCTTTATGTTTAGGAAGGACTTCAGAGCTCATCTAAGTTAACTCCCACCAGTGAAGATATCTTCTTTGGCGACACCACTAGAAAGTTATATACAGCTTCTGCTTGAGCCTTTCCAAAAATAGGAAACTCATATCCAGAGGAGACAATCTCCCTTACTGTTGGGTATTTTAAATTATTGGAATTCTATTTTAGCGTAAATTGGAATATTCTTGCTTATAATTTCCAGGCACTGGGACCAGTTCTGCCCCTCAGAGATTCATAGTCTACATCTGTCCTTAATCATCCTTAGGCATTAATAATCCTTTCACTCCAAAATGAAAGCCCACTATGTTAATAAGCCCAGTTCTAAGTCCTGGAATCCATGCTGAGACTCAAACACCAACTTTCCTAAGTTTTCTCCAGATTTACTCTATTATTTCCTGCTAGAAGTATAACCATGAAGGACCTTCTCCCAATCCCTCTCTTAGTTGTCTATCAAGCACCTCCTCTGTGGAAGACCTATCATCATCAATTGCCCAGTGAGTGGTATGACTTAAGACCCAGCAACTGAGTAGGGCACTAACCTCCTACTCTTTCTTGCCCACATCTGGATCATGAATGAGGCAGGAGAACTTGGAGAAATTCCTTGAAAAGAATGGGCATGCGATAGCCAAAAAGCAGGTTGCCTCTCTTCCTACATTCCTCAGAGTGCTTTTTATACTCCTGCTCAAACGCCTCATTCAGACTATAGAAAATAAATGAAGGAGCAAGGAGGTAAATAATGGGTAAAGTGAAGAAACCTGGAAAAACAGCTATTTCAACTGATACAAGAACTGGTCCCACCTGGACTTTCCTTTATGAAAATGGCCAGGAATTATAGTAGGACAAACTTCAAACTCTGCTTGGACTCGTTGTGGGGATATGGAATAATCCCACAAAAAGCTTTGTTACCTGTATCTCCCCAAGAGCAAGCTCTCCAGGGGCCACAAGAACTTGGCTAACAGTTGGTTCATGTAATCCCAGTCAGACAATGATTTCGATCCCCGAGTAAAGTGAGAGATTTCTAGAAGAAAGATAGTAAGTGTTTGGAGTTGGACCCAGAAGTAGAGAGGGATCCCATTGCCTCTTACCTGCCTGGCTCTCTCAAATTCTTCCCAGTACTCCCATCATGCCCCATCGGGCCATAGTTCCATTGAATCTCATGGGCTTCAATGAAGTACTGTCGAACTTTGCCTGTGAGCAGGTCCACAGGATGGGCCATGGAGCAAGACTTGACCTTGTAGAATGCCTGCATGCCATCTGAAGGAAGAACATTATGGCTGACCCCATTCTATCCAATAGGATTTTAACGCAGAGGACTCACCTTCCTCCTTCTGTTAGTGTTTCCTCCTCCCACCCTCCACTAATCTCTACTCCTGCTCCAAAAAGGGCCACTTTCTCTCACTCTTAAAATGCCTGACTGAGAGAGAGAGTCCAGGTTAGAATTCAAGTACCTCCACTTGCTTATACCACCACTGATGCATTTACTAGATCTTCATTCCTGCCTCTGAATATAGACTCACATTGTAGCAACATCACAGACACGGAAGTAAGGAAACGAGTTCAAGCCCAAGCTTTAAGCACTATCTATAGGACCTTAGGCAAGTCACTTCCTCAATCTGAGCTTCCCTCTTTTGCCAAAGGAGAGAATAGGAAAGTCTACCTCATGTGGCTGGTAGGAGCATCAAATTTAAAATAGGGGTTAATTATTTATAAATTGGGAAGCTCCCAAAATAATAGAACATCTTCTATCAGTGGAGATAAAGCTTCAGACTTGGGACTGTAAGGAAAATGTAGATTCTAAGTAGTGTTTTCAAATGTGGAATATACTACATTGGGTCATAATGGCAATGGATAGTACTGTCTTATATTGGCTTAGCAACTTATAGAGGTCACTTAGTATATTATTTTATTAGAGTCCCACAACATCCCAGGGAGATTTGAAATCTGTAAATTAGAAACCTGAGGTATGATGAAGGGAGTGGAAAAAATATTCTTTTTCTTCAACATGTATTATGTTAGGTAGGTTCTGTGTCAGGTGTTTTACATATTTTTTAAAATTTCAGTCCCAGGGAGTACATATGTTACCCCTATCAATCTTTACAACCATTGTATGAAATATACTTTTAATGTCCCCTTTTGCAGATGAAGAAAACTAAAGGTCAGACAGGTTAAATAACTTGCCAAGGTTGCACAGCTAGTCAGAGGTGGAGTTGAGACTTAAATTCCCATCTTTCAACTACAGATCTTAAGTGTTCATTTTATTTTCTTATATCTACTATCTTGGTTACATAATCCCCCTATTCTCTAAGACTCAAAATCACATTTTTACTCTAAAACCTCATTACAATTTTATACATCACTACTGCTATTAAGAGGCTCAGAGAAGTGACATGATTTATCAAAGGTGGCTAAACAAGTGATAGAACCAGGATTTGAATCCAGGTATGTCTGTCTCTAAGGTCCATGCTTATTCCACTATCATGCTGCCTCTCTAACCCCAATTCATATTTATAGTCTCTTACCTAAGAAGCTTTGGGGCTAAGACATACCCTGGATAATGGAGCACATGTAACTGGCCCCTATTGTGTCAAACCTAACACCTAAGATTTATTATCCTATTAGTCTACGACTCCTAACCTACTCAAATCCACTTCAAGAACTCGCATGTCATTTTTGTGACACCCATTCTAATTTACCATAAATCAAATAATTCTAGAAAATGAAAGCTGAATAGGATTTAAGAGGCTATTTAGACAAACTTTCCCATTTTACAGATGTGGCAAATGTGACCTAGATATGGAAAGGCACCTGTCTAAAGTCATATAAAGTTTTTCACAAACTTGAGACTACAATTCAAACCTAATCACTTATCTACTATTCTTTCCATTGCCTCATATGCTCTTCCTCTCCTCTGACGCATCTGATGCTCCTCAATACATTGCTCTGCAATGACATTACTTTAATGTTTCTCCCTTTGAAAATGAAACCTTCCACTCCTATTGCTATTGAGTTCCAACCAGAGTGTAACTATGTACCCACAATACACCATGATCTCCTACAGAAATGTTACTCTCTTTTAATTAATCTCTCCTTCACTCCCTGTTCAATATGTTGAAAATGTCTCCAGGCATTAATTGTTTAGAATTCTAAGCAAATAACAAAACGCTGATTAAAAGTCTACCTATTCATCCCCAAGCTATCTTATGTTCAATGTGGGGAAGATTAAACACAGAGAGATGTGCCCAAAGTTACCCAGCAAGTTTCACAGCAGATTCAGGAAAAAACCTGGGTCCCCTGACTTCTAATCTAGTGTGCTATCCTTTATCCCAAGATGCCTCAACTGGAAGACTTATCTATGGCTTCAGGCCAGAAGCCCAGCCTCCTTTGACCATTATCGTACCTCTGTCTTACAACCCAAGGGTCAGAAATCTTGGATCTCACCTCGAAAGTGACTGTTCACTTGACAGCTAACTAACCAGGTACCAGGTTCCCAGGGCACCATCTCGGCAGTCACAAAGGTGGCTGGAAAGATCTGAGCCACATCAGTGTGGTGTCCACGGGTAGTCAGCATCTGTCCATGGAAAAATGCTGTGTGGACATCAACTTCATTGCCCATGCCAAACAAGTGCCAGGCCACACGTCTCTGTGCACACATGTTCAGCTCTGGTAAATTCCCAAAAACAAAGCCATTGATTGCTGCAAAAGAAAATCGAAGGAAAATATCAAGATTAGGAAAGGACACCCGAATGGAAGAAGCCTTACCATTTGACAGTAATAGATGACATTTAAATGAGGTTATAAAGAGCACACTGTGTTGACCATATCTTCTTTAAATCTCAAAAACATCCCTGAGAAATAGGCAGATATCATTAGTCTCATTAAAAAAAGAGAGAGAGAGAGAGAAAAAAACCAAGACTTAGAGAGGTGAAGTTACTTCTTTCCCAATGCCATAGAGCTAATAAATTCTTAAAGCCAATATTCCAAACTAGAAATGTGAAGAAGCACTCTAAGGAATTTAGTTATTTTGCAGGCTATTATTACAGGGTGGTTTCATTCTAAAAATTTCAACAGGACAATTGTCAAACTGGCTGACTAATTAACATGGCTATTATAATCAATTGGTATAAAATTCAAGAGAAAGTTGAGCTGTCCAAGCCATCCTTTACATCTTCCTTCTGAATTTCTGCCTCATTTTGGGGCTGTATGGTTTTTAGCCCATCCCTGTCACCAGTGGCCAGTAAATGACTTCCTTAATGAAATAAAAACAAAATCGACTTGTTTATATTCCTAAAATCAGTTCACTATTCATGCCTCAGATCTTCTGTGCCTTTAGTTTCTTTTTTAATTTAATTAATATGGTCAATGCCCTTATAGACATAAGCACAGAGTAGGATGGGAGATATAAACAAGGTAGCTTGAAAGCAACCATTTTTCTCCTCAAAGTGGATAATTTTGCTAACTTCTTCCTTTTTGAAACAAATCAATATTAATTAATTGTATCAGTGGGAAACTCACAGCAAAGTAATTGAGTATATACTATATAACTTTAGGCTGTGTGCTATTCCACAGGCCGTCATCAGCCTATGTGCTATTCTACATTATGAGGCAGAATAGCCTAAGGGCAAGAGCACAATCTATGTAGTCAGAGAGATCAGGGTTGGAATTTTAGCTGTGCCATTTATCTGCTGCATAATCTTAGGAGCCTTGGTGTCCTCACATGTAAAACAGGGAAGAGCCATCTACTACTCCTTGTCCTTGTGATGACTAAAAAGGATTATGTATGTGAAAGCATCCACCAAATACTAGGCCCAGTGGATACCCTCCAACAATGTTCCCTGTCACAATGTGGCCGCCTTTTCCCAACTCACCATGCATCTTATTGCTCTCCTGAAATGTTTCATCTTCTTTGTCCACTGAAGCAGGATCTGAGCAGTAAGTGGCAATGTTCTCATCGAGATGCCAACTGAGGTTCTCGTCTACCACACTGAAGAGCAGGAAGAAATCATGGTCTACATCCCGCCGTTGAGGAGGGGAGTTCCCATCCAGGGCTCCTAGAGCAAGTAAGAAAGTTTCCCTTGAGAAAATCCTTTCCTTAGCAATAGTAAGCTGAAAGGGGTACTCATGAGAAAGGAATAGAAAGAGAGGGGCCTTAAGAATCTGTAAGCAACAGAAAAGCAGATGTAACCTTCTTGGGTTAATTTCTATTTCCGAACTCCCCATTTAAAACCACCAATTCAGTTGAACCTAGGACTTGATGTTAAGACACATAGAATCTACAATAATTCCCTCCCACCATCCCTGCCTATGTCTTCAACCCAGGGCCTAAACCTGACCACATTCCTGCCACCCTCTGGTCTTCAAGTCTGACTCTTCCTGGAGCATGTCCTATTACCAGCAAAATCCTCCCAAACCCTGATGACCACACTTTCAATCTTATCCATATCTAAACTCTTACCACATATCTGATTTCAATGTGACTTGACTCCTAAAATGACTAATTTGAGATTTAAAAGTGAAACAACAAAAAATAAAAAGGAGAAAAGTTCGGTGTTTTGTTGTTTTTAATAACAATAATTTTAAAAAAGGTTCCTACGATCATCATGGTGGACAAGAGTCAGGACTAGATTGCAGCTCAGACTTGAATGGACAGAGCAGCATGTGGAGGCTTGCATCATGAATTTTAGCTCCAGCACCCTGCATGAACACACCAGGAATCCCAAGAGGACCCACAGACCCTCTGAAGGAAATGGACTGCTCCTGCAGGACTCGGGAGACACCCCAAATACTGCGCTGGTATTCACAGCAGAGAGACCCATACACAGTTCACATCACAGGACTCTGTGCAGACAACCTCCAGTATCAGTCCAGAGTCAGGTAGACTTGCTGGGTGGCTAGACCCAAAAGAGAGACAACAATCACTGGAGCTCAGCTCACAGGAAGCCGCATCCATAAAAAAGAAGGGAGAGATCAAGGGAACACCCTTTGAGCCAAAGAACCTGAAGAACAGCCTTGAGCCCTAGACCTTCCCTCTGACAGAGCTCACCCAAATGAGAAGGAACCAGAAACCCAACTCAGGTAATATGACAAAACAAGGTTCTTTAACACCCCCAAAAAATCATGCTGGCTCACCAGCAATGGATCCAAACCAAGATTAAAAAAAAAAAAAAAAAAATCCCTGATTTACCTGAAAAAGAATTCAGGAGGTTAGCTATTGAGCTAATCAGGGAGGCACCAGAGAAAGGTGAAGCCTAATGAAAGGAAATAAAGAAAAAACAACAACAACTACAAAAATAAGAAGTGAAGGGAGAAATATTCAAGGAAATAGATAGCATAAAGAAAAAACAATCAAAACTTCAGGAAACATTGGACACACTTATAGAAATGCGAAATCCTTTGGAAAGTCTCAGCAATAGAATTGAACAAGTAGAAGAAAAAAATTCGAAGGTTGATGACAAGGTCTTCAAATTAACCCAATCCAACAAAGACAAAGAAAAAAGAATAAGAAAACATGAACAAAGCCTCCAAGAAGTCTGGGATTATGTTAAATGACCAAACCTAAGAATAATTGCTATTCCCGAGGAAGAAGGGAATTCTAAAAGTTTGGGAAACATATTTGGAGGAGTAATAGGGGAAAACTTCCCTGGCCTTGCTAGAGACTTAGACATCCAAATACAAGAAGCACAAAGAACACCTGGGAAATTCATCACAAAAACATGATCCCCTAGGCACATTGTCATCAGGCTATATAAAGTTAAGACAAAGAAGGAAAGAATCTTAAGAACTGTGAGACAAAAACACCAGGTCACCTATAAAGGAAAACCTATCAGATAAACAGCATATTTCTCAGCAGAAACTCTACAGGCTAGAAGGGATTGTGGCTCTATCTTCAGCTTCCTCAAACAAAACAATTACCAGCCAAGAATTTTGTATCAAGCAAAACTCAGCATCATATATGAAGGAAAGGTACAGTCTTTTTCAGACAAACATATGCTGAGAGAATTTGCCACTACCAAGCCACCACTACAAGAACTGCTAAAATGAGTTCTAAATATTTAAACAAATCCAGAAAATACATAAAAATGAAAACTCTTGAAAACATAAATCAATCACACAGGACCTATGAAACAAAAATAAAATTTAAAAAGCAAAAACAAAACAAAACAAAACAAAACAAAATCCAAGGTACACAGGCAACAAATAGCATGATGAATGCAATGGTACCTCATATCTCAATACTAACATTGAATGTAAATGGCCTAAATGCCCCACTTAAAAAATACAAAAATGCAAAGTGGATAAGAAATCACCAACCATCTCCTGCTTCAGGAGACTCACCTAACACATAAGGACTCACATAAACTTAAAGTCAAGGGGTGGAAAAAGGTATTTCATGCAAAAGGAAACCAAAAGTGAGTAGGAGAAGCTATTCTCATATCAGACAAAACAAACATGAAAGCAACAACAGTTAAAAGGGACAAAGAGGGACATTATATAATGGTAAAAGGCCTTGTCCATGAGGAAAATATTACAATCCTAAGCATATATGCACCTAACACTGGAGGTCCCAAATTTATAAAGCAGTTACTAATAGACCTAAGAAATGCCATACACAGCAACACAATAATAGTGGGAGACTTCAATACTCCATTGACAGCACTAGACAGGTCACCAAGGCAGAAAGTCAACAAAGAAACAACAGACTTAAACTATACTTTGGAACAAATAGGCTTAACAGATATATACAGAATATTTCATCCAACAAACGCAGATTACACATTCTATTCAACCGCGCATGGAACTTTCTCCAAGATAGATAATATGATAGGCAATAAAACAAGCCTCAATAAATTTAAGAAAATTGAAATTATATCAAGCACTCTCTCGGATCACTGTAGAATAAAACTGGAAATCAACTCTGAAAGGAACCTTCAAAACCATGGAAATAAATGGAAATTAATCTGCTCCTGAATGAGCATTGGGCAAAAAATGAAATCAAGATGGAAATTTAAAAATTCTTCGATCTGACTGACAATAATAACACAACGTATAAAAGCCTCTGTGACACAGCAAGAGTGATGCTAAGAGGGAATTTCATAGCTCTAAACGCCTACATCAAAAAGATTGAAAGAGTGCAAACTGACGTTCTAAGGTCACACCTCAAGGAACTAGAGAAACAAGAACAAAGCAAACCCAAACACTAGAGATGAAAGGAAATAACCAAGATCAGAGAAGAACTAAAGGAAATTGAAACAACAACAACAACAAAAAATACAGAAAAAAGGAGCAAGATGGCCGAATAGGAAGAGCTCCAGTCTCCAACTCCCAGCGCGAGCGACACAAAAGACCGGTGATTTCTGCATTTTCAACTGAGGTACTGGGTTCATCTCACTGGGGGCCAGCTGCGGACGATCGGTGTGGGTCAGCTGTTGCAGCTCCCGACCAGGCGAAGAGCTGAAGGATGGCCAGGCATTGCCTCACCTGGGAAGCGCAAGGGGGGAAGGAATCTTTTCTAGCCAGGGGGAAACTGAGGACACACAAACACCTGGGAAATCGGGTAAACTCCCACCCCCAATACTGCGGCTTTAACAGCCGAAACAGGCACCAGGGAGATCAATATCCACACTGGGCGGGGGAGGTCCACACCCACGGGGCCTCCCTCATTGCCTAGCAACAGGCAGGTCGTTGTGATTCTACGGCAAGACAGGCAAGCGGAGCACTGGGGGAGAGGCGCCCGCAAATTTGCTGAGGGCCTTAAGTGACCTGCGGTAACAAGCTGCTGGGAAGGCTCGAACTGGGGTGAGGCTTGACAGCAGCTCAAGGAACCGGCTGTCTACATGTAGACTCCCACCTCTGGGACATACGGCGACAGATTAGCAACAAGAAGCAGGCAAATCCTCTTGCACGCAAAACGACTCTGTCTGGACGCTATGAGAGAGCAGTGGATCTCCCAACACGGACGGTGGATCTGAGAAGGGGGACAGACTGCCTGCTCAAGTGGGAGCGGCCTGAGCCCCCTGAGTAGGTCCTAACTTGGGAGGGACCAGTAACCCCCCACGGTCACGGGGCAGGTCCTGACCACCCCCCACACCTCACAGGGGCGAGTTTTACGG